TGAGTTTCTCCAGCAATTTTTGTTTCTGTTTCAGATTTCCAGCATCCACAGTTCTTAATTTTATTATATTGCTATACAAATTGACTGCCGAATTTCCTAAATTACAGCAGTGACTACTCTTCAAAAGTGCTTAATGGGTTGCAACGTGTGATATCTCATTGTTGTGAAAAGTGAAGGGTCCTGACCTGAAACATCAGCATTCCTGCTCCTCTGATGCTGCCTGGCCTGCTGTGTTCCTCCAGCTCCACACTCTGGATAAGCTGAGACTCTTTTCACTGGAGCATAGGAGATTGAGGGGTGACCTTATGAAAGCATGAGGGCCCTTAGATAAGATGAATAGCAAGAGTCTTTTACCTAGGGTGGGGGAATTCCAAACAAGTGGGCATATTTTTAAGGTGAGAAGAGAAACATTTAAGAAGATGAGGGACAACTTTCTTACACAGAGAGTGATTCATGTGTGGAATGAACTGCCAGAGGAAATGTTGGATGCAGGTACATTTAAAAGACATTTGGATAAGTATATGAATAGGAAATGTTTGGAGGTATGTGGGCCAAACGCAGGCAAATGGGACTAGTTTAGTTTGGGAACATGGTTGGCATGGACTTGTTGGACCAAAGGGTCTGTTTCCATGCTGTATGGCTCTGTGACTCTTTTGACAGCAATTCCCACACCTTTCCCACATATAGAAACATAAAGTCGGTTTTTCATTCAAAATAACATATACCAAATGCAACAAGGTGGTGGTTTGCATATGGAATGAACTGCCAGAGGAAGTGGTAGATACAGGTACAGTTTCAACATTTAGAAAGCATTTCGAGAGGTACATGGACAGGAAAGGTGTAGAGGAAAACGGGGCCAAATGCAGTCAAGTGGGGCTAGTTTAGTTCGGGAAACCTGGTCAGCATGGACGATTTGGACCGAAGGGTCTGTTTCCATGCTCTATGACCCTCTCTACAATACCCACACCATCACTTCCAAATGTACGTTCACATACAAAGTCACACACCATCTAGTCTTCCTTATTAGAAGAGACTTGCATTTACATAGCACTTTGCAGATATCTCAAAGTGCTCTATAGCTAAAAAAGTAATTTTTAAAACATACACAGTATTATAGTATCTGAAATGCAGCAGTCAACATGCACACTGCTAGCTCCCACAAGGAACAATAAGGACCAGCTTTTTTTTTTGTGCAATATTGATTGAAAGATAAATATTGGGTAGGACATCAGGGATAACTCCTTTGTTCTTAGAGACAGTGATATTACCCCGACCTGAGCAGGAAGACTCGACCTCGGTTTAATATCTCATCACAAAGAGGACACCTCCAACAGTGCAGGTACATAGGGAGCACTGAAGAGTCATCTTTGATTTTTGAACTTATGTCCAAGTTTAGAAATTGAACTTAGAACCTTATGGTTCTGAGGCAAACATGGTAATCAACTGAGCCAAGGTTACAACCCCAAACCAATAGAAGTGTGGGAGCACCTTTACCACACAATCTGCAGGACTTCAAGCAGAACTTTTACAACCCCCCTTTTGATAAAGTCAGCAGTTACATGACTCCAGATTATAGTCCAACAGGTTTATTTGAAATCCCAAGCTTTCAGAGCACGGCTCCTTTGTCAGGTGAACCCCACTTTTAAGTTCAGCAAGGGTCGGGGAATAAATGCTGGCCTACAACCCAATAACCAAGAGTACAATATACAGATATATAGACCTTTTCTCCTCAATCTCTATCTCTATTGACAGTATGAATGCTCATAATTGTCCAATCAGTCTGAGTGAGTGTGTCAACTTAGTGTCACATTACACAAAATCTGGAACTATTGAGAGTGGGTAGAACTCTCTATTACCTTCATAGCACTTTCCTTGCTGTCAATTCAATATATTCAACGCAACTCTCTCACTTTTACTAACCCCTACACGCTTCACATCAGCTCTGAAGAGCCTTCCAGACTCAAAACATTTGCTAACTCCCTCTCCATGGATGCTGCCTGGCCTGCTGTGATTTCCAGCATTTCTTGTTTTCAGTGCAAATTGTTAAATTGCTTCTTTCTCAAACTATTTGTGTAAATAGGATTTATGACATAGAATGCCAATCAGCCCAATAAGTCTACACTGGCAGTGATGCTCTGAATGGGCCTCCACCCACTTTTGTGTGTGGTTGTACCACAGTTGGGGAAGTGTGTCCAGTTTAGGTTTGACCTAATTTCAGAAAGATGGAAAGCAGTGGACAATATCAGACTGCTAATTCTTTTAGTAGCACTGTGTTGTGTGTTGGCAGCTAGCAATAGAGTTCAAATTGATCCAAGCCCTCCCCATAAATCACATGCCCCCTACCTGCTATAGACCATGTCCATTACTTTGCAAGATTTCAAGGTCATATCACTCAGTCTGCGACTTTCAAAGTGGTGGGATTTAGTCATGTTACATATTGTAAAAAATGCTTCAGCAGTCTTCCTCCTCCAGTTTAGAAAAGGGTCTGCGATGGTAATGGGACTGTAGAGAATGAAAAATACGTACAAAAATCAGCTTTTCCTTCAGAGGTGGTGACAGATGTGGAAATCATTCATTAGTAATCAGGCCATGCAAAGTTAACCATAAACAGTCATTACAAACCACCCCCTACTGTCCCACATTTTACGCAGGATTTAATCTTCTTTTACTTGTAAGATGCAGATGAAATGCATCTTTTCTAAAAGCTTCAGAGCTGGAAGTTAATATTTCGATTAAAATCAATGGCCCACAGTGTGCTCATACTGAGTCAGAGAATAAAATTTTTAACAAGTGATACACAATGCAATACAATGCATTATAATCCAGAAGCCTGCTGTTAGGAGCCTGGTTAGTTGACTAGACTGTTACTATGGGGTGTTCCCGATTTACAAAAGTCCGACTAGCAGAAGCTTGTAGTTATAAACACAATCTCATATAGGGGTATAATTTTGAAGATCTGACATATAAACATTTCCTGTACTTATGAACAACTGCTTTATACTGTCCTGCATTATATTCTGATTTGCAAACGAATTCCAGAATGGAACCTGTTCAAAATCAGGGGACTGCCTGTATACAGCTCAAAATAACATTAACTGTGTGAGGGTTTTATTCCTGTCCTGGCTGAAACAGGCTTTGGACTTACAGAAAGAGAAGTTGCTGGAAAAGCTCAGCAGGTCTGGCAGCTTCTGTGAAGAAAAACATCACAGATGTGGCCAGACCTGCTGAGCTTTTCCGGCAACTTCTGTTTTTTGTTCCTGATTTCCAGCATCCGCAGTTCTTTCAGTTTTTATTTTAGGCTCTGGACTTACCTCCTCAAACTTTTTTGTAGTAAAATCACAGCCTAAGCCATGATTCAGCTATCCTCAAACACTCAAAAAACCTTTGAAAATATCACTTCCTGCAGCATTACCCTTGATTAAAATGACTATTTAAGGTAGTATTTCTTTCCTATTCACTAACTCTGTCTGATTCCCATCTCTCCTTGTCTTTCTCAGTGGCTTCTCATTGCAATGTCTTTATCAAACAATTTAACTTTTTTGCAATTGCAACTGTCCCACACATTTCAAACACCTTTTCTCACCTCTGATGTCAGGCATGTTACAGTTGGGTAACAGTCTTGCTTTCAAGTCACAAGGTTTCAATCTGATTCTGTGACTTGAATACAAAAATCAATTCAAACCATTCTTGTGCAGTACTGAAGGGTGTGCTGCATTGTAGGAGGTGCCAGTTTCTGGCTCAGACATTAAACCAATGACACATCTACTCCCTAAAATGGCACTGTATACTCACTTTGGCAGCCATTAGCAAGGTGCTACGTTTTCCTTTACTTGTCCACTGACTCATTAATATTTACCTTGCATTCCTTCTATTGCATCCTTATCTTTAACATAATGAAGGTGAACTTTGGAAGTTCTGCAAAAGCTGAAGTGATATTTGCACCATGTGCAGATACTTATATTTGAAAACATTGCTTAAATTTGAACAAGAGGCAAGCTTTGCATGTGGAAGTAATCCAGAATCCCAGGTTAATTCTCTGAGGACATGGGGTTTGAATCTTGCCATGGCAGATGGTGGAATTTGAATTTAGTAAACATCTAGTATTGTATCTGACCAAATGGCAACTGGTTTTGCAAAAATCTGTTTCAGCAGCATCCCTTATAGAAGGAAATCTGCCATCCTTGCCTGGTGTGGCCTACATATGTACCTTGGCCTACAGTGCCTGCAGCAGTTTGGTTGACTCTTAACTGCCCTTTGAAGTTGCGAATCTAGGGCAATTAGGGATGGGCAGTAAATGCTGACCAAGCCAGCGATGACCAATGAATTTAAAAAAGTTCTCTATTTGGGTGATCTGACAGTGGGAGGTTACAGCTGCTTTTAGATCTTATTGATTACTCAAGTCAGTCATAGAGTCACAGAGTCATACAGCATGGAAACAGACCCTTCGGTCCAATCAGTCCATGCTGACCATAATCCCAAACTAATCTAGTCCCACCTGCCTGCTGCTGGCCCATATTCCTCCAAACCTTTCGTATCCATGTACTTGTCTGAGTGTCTTTGAACATTGTAACTTGTAACTGTGCCCACATCCATCACTTCTTCAGGAAGTCATTCCACATGCAAACCACCCTCTGTGTAAAACATTTGCCCTTCATGTCTTTTTTTTAAATCTCTGTACCTCTCTAGCTTAATAATATCCTTCCTATAAGAAGGTGACCAGAATTGTACACAGTACTCCAGAAAAGGTCTCACCAATGTCCTGTACATCCTTAACATAACTTCCTAACTCATATACTCAAAGGACTGAGCAATGAAGGGAAGCGTGCTAAATGCCCTTTTAAACATTCTGTCGATATCTGACACAAACTTCAAAGAATTATGTACCTGAACTCCTACGTCCCTCTGTTCTATAACGCTACTCACGGCTCTACCATTAACTGTATTGTCAACAAAACAATTAGGAAGAGATCAGCACAATGTACTGTCAGTGGCCTAAACTGGCCCATCTGAATTCACCAGGGAGATTCACACCATGACACTGGACACATGATTTACCATTTGTTTAAATTTAAGGAATGTTTCAAATAAAACTATCTGCATAAGGTGCTAACATTATTTCAGCTTTTGCAAAACAGTGGGGCGCTGGAGTGTCAGCCTTATCTGCTCAAATTCTGGATTAGGACTGAATTTACAATCTTCTTACTCAGAGATAAGAGTGCTACAAACCAGGCCACAATTGGCACTAAATATATAGCCCTAGAGACCTACAGCACAGAGGAAGGCCCTTTGGCCAATTGGGCTCACGCTAGTCAAAAACAACAACCTAATCATTCTAATGCCATTTTCTAGCACATGGCCCATAGCTTCGCTTGCCTTGGTGTCATATATGATTAAAGATTGGAGTAAGTAAAGTTGTCATCTCTTTCTTGCTTCAAAGATCGATGAAGGTAATACTTTGAATTAAAGGCATGAGTTTCAGACTTTCCATCTTATTTCAAGCATGTATCAGACATTAAGGCATAAATTTTCAATAGCCATTGTTGGCGGGCAAGGTTATTGTTAGAAGGAGGAATTTGGAAAATTACCTTGTGTTAATGTTCTCGTAATGGTAAGTAGTTTAAAAATTTATCTTAAACAGCCTTATTTCTTCAGTTGTCTAAATTCCTCGGAGATCTATCATATTACATTTCAGTTTTTGCACTGAACCTCTCTGTGTTAACAGTAAATGTACTATTATTTTAAAAGTGCTAGATTTGAAGAATTGTTTTCTAACCCATATGTTCTGTAACCCATGAGATTTCTCAGGTTTATCTCATCCCAAGGCTTCTTATTAACAATCCCAGACTCATTTGCCGTTTCTTTCTGCTCTTAAATTTTCTCACAGAGATTCAATGCTTCATTTATTACAGCTGCCAAAATGATGCAATTATTAGCTGACGTTTAAGGATATTTGTTCATTTTGAAAATGCTAAATGTTATTGTTTAAGTCCTCCTTTTATTGCGGCACTAGACCTGCTGAAGGTGACTTTCACGTGGCTATTTCCAGTGAATTGGAGACACAGGAAATGAGCCTGATGGAAGTATTCAGGACCCTACACTGTTGATTTGCATTTAAATAGAGTCAGCAAGCTGCCAGCATTAAACAAATTTTGAAAGGCAACTCATCGTCCGAAGGAGTGGAAGAAACTTAAACTTGGTCCTTCATGGAGCCAGGTTGGTGGTGATAATTTAAAAAGTCAACAATGTGATCCTAGAGGAGGAGAAAGGAAGGTGAGGAAAGTGTAGATATTTGTTGGGTCAGAAGATGCTTGGTCAGTTATTTTGAAGACCTCCACCGAAATAGCAGTCACTAGACAGGCATTAATAATGGGACTCTAAGTGCCTTTTAGAAAGAATCATAGAATCCCTACAGTGTGGAAACAGGCCCTTTGGCCCAACAAGTCCACACTGCCCCTCAGAGCATCCCGCCCAGACCCACCCCTCATAACCCACCTAACCTACACATTCCTGGACACCACAGGGCAATTTAGCATAGCCAATTCACCTAGCCTGCACAACTTTTTGGACTGTGAGAGGAAACCCATGCAGACACAGGGAGAATGTGCAAACTCCACACAGACAGTAACCCAAGGATGGAATTGAGCCCAGATCCCTGGTGCTGTGAGGCAACAGTGCTAACCACTGAGCCACCATGCCACCATGCTTTTACTGAGCTACCACCCTATTTCTGCCAGCTGATTGAGTGTAGTCCAAGTCATTGTGTGTATTTAAGACAGAGATAGATACGTTCTTGATTAGTAAGGGAATCAAGTGTTATGGGGAGAAGACAGGAGAATGGGGTTAAGAAACATATCAGCCATGATTGAATGGAGCAGCAGACCTGATGGGCTGAATCGCCTAATTCTGTTTATCTTATAACATTTGCCTCTTGGAATCATATATTTCTTTTATGTATTTCTCTAGCATATTCCTTATGGTAGTACTCCTGGGGCGAGGAGCTGTGAGTCAGGCGTGACAGTGAAGTAATGTAACTAAGACCTGAAAAAGAATGGGAACTTAGAGAGTGCTGCACTGTCATTGCTGCAGTCTTCAGGTGAGACTCAAGGATCCCATAGTATTATTCAAAGATGAGTGGGGTCATTCTCCTGATGATGCTGACCAAAATCACTCCCTCAACCGACGCCACTGAAACAAATTATCTGGTTATCTCATTGCTGTTTATGGGAATTACTTTGTACATATTGGGTGCTGTGCTTCCTGCACTGTAGTAGTGATTACACTTCAAAAAGTACTTTGTTGGCTGTCAAGAGATTTGAAGCATCTTATGCTTGTGCAAGGAACAAAGAAAGTTAGAAACAGGAGCAGACCATTCAGACCCTCCAGCTTGTGCCATCATTCAATGACCTCATGGATGAGCTGCGGCCTACCTCCAAGTGGTGTCTAACCAGGATTTTGTA